CATCATCATCATTATCATCATCGTTATCACCATCATCATCTGGAATGCACAAATACTTATTTTTCCCTTCGCATCTAAATGAGGCTGAAATTATAATTCAAGTGTGTTCACCTGTAACCACATTGTATGACATTGTATGTGGTGGTCTTCCTTTTTTTCATTCTTTGTTTTCTCTCCATTCTATTGCGAATGTGGATTAATTACTAAGAGCCCTTTGTCTTCCTAACGTTTTCTTTCTAACTTTCTACTGTACAGTCTTAGATCTTCGGTTTTGAACTCTGTTCATTAGGCGGTAAATCTTGTATTCAACTGTTCAATCAACCCTTGTTTCATTTTTGTTTTTGTTTTTGTGATCCCTCAAACCGAATTTGAAGAATTCCGTTCGATTTAAACTGTTCTGAGAAGGTTAAGTTAGGTATATGAGCTTTAAAACACTCATTAATAATTTATAAGCTTATGGTCCAATTGGAGCCACCATACGCGTCACGTGCATGAACCTTTATACCCGATAAAGTCATCTTCATTAGTATTCAAGTGATTTTATATAAAGACACATGTGTCTTTATATAAAGACACATGTGATCTTTATATAAAGACCACTCGAATACTATGAGGATGACTTCACCAGGGATGCAGTATGCATCCAAGTTTAGATGAAGACATAGAGCTTCATCGAGGYCATAGTCAACCCTAAAGATCTTTGACCAACGTGCCTGTCTTTGCCTTGGCACGCAATATCCAACGTGTGGGAGCTTCTATTGAATCTGGTTGCGCATGCCCGTGACGTCAAATCTCTATCGAAGTATAAAAATCCATGTTCGTGACGTGTATGGTGGCTCAAGTTGAACCAAAATCTTATAAATTGTTCATGAGTGTTTTAAACTGTTCAAAAAACTCGTAGATCGTGTTTCATCAGATATAAAAGCACTCGGCTACGCCTCGTGCTTTTATACCTGATAAAACACTCCTACTCGTTTATTAAACAGTACATAATAAATTTTACATTTCACTTAATTTCGCGCGGAAGTAGCTCACTCTGTCATAGCCGACATTAATTCTTAATCTGAACAAAAGAAAGATAGAATGACAAATATTGACAATATCTCTATGAAAGGAAACCTAGGTTTGAGACTCGTAATGTCTTCGGCACCTGCTAGTTTATATGCCAATATGAAACAAGATAATCATGATATTCATTTACCTGAATGTGATAACTATACATTTCTGTGGTATTTTACCGGCAATTTTGAAATAAAATGTGTGGAATCCTTATTTAAAAGAAAAAAGGAAAAGAAGAGTCGAAAATACTCGACAGTACTCAGAAGGGGGAAAAACCAAATGAATGTATCATACTAGACATTCTTAATGACTCGTAGAGTAGACAGTTGTTTTTCGTTTTGTCTTGTTTGACGAAGTATCGCACCTTGCTTCTCTAAGAGGAATTCAAATAATTCTTTCCAAGCACTTTAATGACAGGTGCTATAGATATAAATAAATATAAAGTAAAAAATGGATTGAAATATACCGTTCTAAAGATAACTAGAGAGGACAGAAAATTTAAAAAAAATCATCATTCGAAATAGACTGACAGCGAGATTTTGTTTTTGTTGTCGAAAGAAAACTAGATTCTTCGAGGTCTTTTGTTGTGCTAATTTTGCTTGAAATTGCTTGATTCATCGTGCGAAGAGTAACACTAATAAGAAACATTAATAATGAACAAGAAAAAGAGAATAAGACGAAGTCTGTTTCTAAGCAACCAGAATATCAATATTTACTGACGAGATTACGTCGTAAGTATAAATAAATCAAGGAGAAGCTCACTACAGGGAAAAAAGGACGATTTTATTCATATCGCTAATATTATGAATCGATACATATGACTGTGTTTTCACAATTTGAGATTCCCTGTCGAAGATTCATAAACCTCTGAAGACTTGTTATGTAATAGTTATGCTTTTTTCCGTAGTTTAGGCCGAGGACGAGGGATTAAAACTAGAATAAAACTAGAATACCGACGCCAAGCACAATCGCCATGTTCCTATATACTATTAGCCATGCTCATAAAAAAGTGTTAATTTCGAGAGCGTGCCATATAAACCTTAACTTTTGTATCAAAATAAAAAAATAAAATGAAATAAAATAAATGAAAAAAATAACAGAAAAACAACAACAACAACAACAAAACAAAAAACAAAAAAACAATGAAACAATATTAAGGAATAAAAACTAGAAAACTTATTTTCAGTGAAATAACAACGCCACAGATGAGAATATGTGGACCGCATGGCACTTATGAAATACATGAAGATATAGAAATAAGGATAAGTTATAGTGCTTGGGAACGAGGTTATTCCGGGCGAAAGCCCTTGGAATTAAATTCAGAAAAATTATTTTCCGACCTCGCTGAACGACGCCACAGAGCATTGAAGGTTCTTGTCTCTTTTTTGAATAGCGCAATTTTTGTAGCCATTTGAGGTCCGAATTTTGTGGCCATTTTTGAAAAAAAAATCTCTTCGTCTCATGGCACTAAAGATATATTTGTCCTGGAAATCTTGGTGTCCGGATTAAAACTTCAGAAATCAATGGGCGCAAAAATTTGCACCTCATCGCTGAAAAAATCGCCCGTGTAAACGAACCTTATGAGATAATGTCTTTAACGTCGCATTTCGTGTCATAAATGAAGACATTCAATGGATTCGTTTGATGTATTTATTCAAGATTTTTGAAGTCTGTTTGTGAATAGAAAAAGTGAACGAATCTAAGCTGTTGAAATCCTTATCATCTCTCAAGGTGTCAACCGTGCACGACTTCTTTTTAGTGTTGCTACCTTTTGAAGTAAAAACGACTTTTTTGTGGGAAGTGAAAAAGGTTTTTGTTGGAGTGAGTGTTTTACTTTTAGTTCATTCACAAACGAGAAAAGAATTAACGCGCCAAACGTTGGGACGCTGCGCAATCGAAAATCGCTGATCAACGAAAACTAAAATTAGTTATCATCCGTTTGATAAAAACTCGCTAGCCCATAGTCACTGTAGATTACTGGTGTTGAAAGTAAGTTGGACTCACCCTTTGATGTCTGGAAGGCTAGAACGAGACTGATGATCAGAAAGGCAGCCATTTTTTCCTTGTTTTCTTTAGTTCCGTGCCGTGTGAGAGGGTTGCGGTTCAGAGCTCAAAATCACCCGGACTGCTAGTGAGATTAGTTTAAAGAATACTGTTGCTATAACAATGTATACACAAATAAGGTTGACATACATAACACTATGGCAACCAATTGTTCTCAAGTATGAAGGTATTTATAATGTACAAGCAATGGAATATAGGCAGAATATGAAAGATTGAAGTTGATTGGAGGAAACAATAGGCCAATTAAGCTAAACGTAAACGAAAATACGCGAATGACGATGACAACAATGATGGAAAAAAAATTATTTTTTTTTGAGATAAAAGTGTCCCATTTTCAGCGATCAGGATATTCTCGCTAAAGCTCATTAAGTCTGAGAATTAATGCATGCAGCGTAGGTAGATCATCTCTTGCAGTTTGTGACTACAAAACCACACAATGAAATATCGTGGTAATCAAGAGACAAAACGATCCTGAGGTCTTGTGTTGTTCGTTATTAAAAATACGTGTTATTAAGAATGTATGAACATGATACAAACAATGGAGAAACAACAAATATGACTAGGCTTCAAAGTGTTTTGTTTCCTAGATAGGCCGTGACTCAACGGATTGGTTTGTGCACAGAATTTCCTAGAGGAGCTGCCACGCAGATATTTCTCTAATGAGAATATAAAATACAGATGTAGTGAACACTCTTTCGTAGTGTAATCTTAAATTTGTATGTTTATCACTTATTTATTATTTATGTTCATCGCCCCTTTCAAAGGTTTTCCCCATTTGTGCAATTTCAAAGTCGAGAACCACAATACTTGTGGAAATTTTTCTGAAATGTTTTAAATTGATGTTTCAAAATGAGTGAGCAGGAAAATTGATTATATCAAGATAGATATAATCATTAGTTTATGTCGCATGCGTTCTGTTCATACTGGAGAAGAAAAAAGGACTAGAGCTTTTAAGGTTTCCGTGTGGTTACCATAACAACAGTTCTTAGTTTGTGGATTCATTTAGTCCTTGAGTCCACTTTTGACCATTCTTTCTCTTATTAATTTTTATGCTCTCCCGGCTTGAAAAATAAAGCAAAACAAAAGTGCTGAATGAAAAATGGATAATATTTACTGTGTGTAGTTCACCAAGATTCATTCTAGTCTCCATAAGTTTTATCGTTTGACAATTCAAGGGACCTTAACGTTTCAAAACTTTCACTATCTTGGTTGTTTCGACTAACAGGCTGATGTAAGTCTGATAGTCACTCCAGGTCTTTAGTTATGGAAGACATTTCTCTTCTACAAAAATACAGTGTGTTTCAATCCATGGTTACCTTGCTCTATTAAGTGTTTTGTAGCTTATGAACTAGTCTTTAAGTGTACTTTCATGTTTAAGACAGTCTTTCTCGTTATCTCTAAGACAAGAAACAACATCTAATTAATTATTAATAAATGCAGAAAAAGTAATGAAAAAGCTAAAAAAAATTTAAAAAAACCTGAAAAGTTTTGAAAAAAGAATAAGACTCAACGAAAACAGAAAGCTATTCTTTAATATTATGAAATAATAATGATACTAATAAAAATCATGCGACAAAATGCACCACAAATAGTGTAAAAATGCCTCAAGCAAAGATGGCCAGGACCCCCCGTGCAAAGATTCTTTTCTTGTCTTTACTACAGCGAAAATCTTTAACTTATAAGGATAAGCTGAAAGTTTGCACGATCAATCTAGAAGTACAAAATAATAATCATGAGAGCGAGCGAAATTTTAAAACTGATTTCAACAGAAGGTCGACTTTTGTTTGAAATACAAAACACCAGTAGGTGTTATGTATATTGGCTTGGTATATTTAGGATATTTGGCGCTGAGTATGTAATTGTCTCGTGTCGGTTGTCATGTGTGTGGATATTAGAGTGATTCTCATAAACCCGTGAAATAAATGTTAGGGTAATAAACATTACTTAGAAAACTCATGAATACTTTATGAGGAAAACTAATAGAAATCATGACCATGAAGGAGGTTTAATATCTGATATAAATTCGTTTTCATTTGCATAAACTTGAACTTGGATTTTCTCTATCAAACTTGGTTCATTTCGTTAAGAATTCGGTACAATATGAGAACATACATCATGAGTTTTCTAAGCCGTTTTAAAAAACTCGAAGATCGTGTTTTATCGAGTCTAAAACCACTCAGCTACGCCTCATACCCGATAAAACACTCCTGCTCGTTTTATTATCCATTAGACTTAAAAAAACGAAGTGATAAAATAGAGTCAATAGACTTTCACTGCAATACTTAGTTGTTTCACTATTAACTGCTATTATGCATTAATATGCGTTAATAGATGTTAATAGCTAAATTTGTTTCACGGGTTTATCAGAAACACTTCCACATGGTTTGGCTTCTTGTAATCAGTAGAATTAGCCAATCAGAAACAGTTTGGTATGTAGCTTGGCATTTATCCCGAGGGTGAAGGGGAGGGGATATTTGGAGGAATTTTGGGGAGGGAGGGGTTCGCATTGCATGGTGGGAACCCCAAGACATGTTTGATGTTCTCCGAGGATCATTTTTTCCGTGTGCGGGGGGTGGGATGGGGGGAAAGGTATCTTATAATATTCCAATAAAGTAGACAATCCATCCCCCTCTACCTCCCCATGCATGCGTTGAATACTGATCGATCCCTAGAGAGTAGCTTTTATTTAAAATAGCTTATGACATCATGAGATGCATTGAGTTGATATCTTAGAATACGCGCGCACGTTCTTCCTTGCATGACCACAGTTGCACACTAGAGCAATGTCTGTCTGTATGTCTTCCTAGCATAACTTTTCTTGGCATGATGATAACGCGCTGATAAAGTATCCCTGCTTTACTGACATCAACTAAACAAGTTTCTGTGCTCGTTTTCCAGCCACTTAAACAACGACGAATAAAATGAAGTTAAGTATATATTAATCATCCTCGTTGATAAATCATCACCAATTTTCCTTTCAAGAAAAGTGCTTAATTAATCTCATTTTATCTGTATGATTTAATATATTATCATTGTGTTCTTTCTCTAACAGCACCGAATGAGTGACAACCAATCACCTTTCGAGTTTGACAAGCTTCCCTTCCGACCTTGACCTGATTGATCATTAGCAACTCGATGTGGTTTAATCAGCATTAGTGACAAGAATCGCTTATCGAATGAACCGCTAATAAATTGGCTCTGCAGTTTATGTCTAAGACAACAAGAATACAACATCGGGAAATGAGGCTACATCTTCGCCGGGTGTGAAATAGAGGTATGAGGTTTGTGTTGGTAGTCATAGAAACTGTAATGAGAGATGGAAGGGAAAGTTAAAAAAGCACAATAAGGGGAAAAAGTAAAACGAAGCAATGAATATTCAACATTAGCGAAAAAACAAGTCATTATGCTGAATGAGAATATCAATCTCTTGCCTTTCCTCTGTTTCTGTTTTCACAGATAACCGAGGTGTGTGTCGGGTAGGACTTTTTGTCAACAGTTTTAATCCTTTTTCACCACCTTACAAAACTACGAACTAGTTTTCTCCCTCCTGGATTATTTTTGTTCATTTTTCTCAATTCATTTAAACTTTTGCTTAGCTCTACGCATGCAGCGGATATTGTCAGTTCCGAAGGAATAAATATACTAAAAAATAGTTTATTATGATCAATGCATTTAGCTTATTAAAATAAGCATGTAGCTTAGCTCATTGGTAAGTGAGAATACACAAATAGTCCGGCCGAAATACAAATAGAAAAATAAAAATACACAAATTGTTTTTCAGTAATTTTGGTTTGTTTGATGTCGTTTTTGAATCTAATTTTCGCGTTTTGGTTTGGATTAGATTTTACCTCGCAAGACTGAATCACATATCATGATATGCAATTAAAAACATCCCAAACTGAAACCGAGTAAAGTATACCGAAAAACCTAGAAAAAACAACGATACAAACAAATGAGTAGGAAAAAACCTACATTTCTCTTTTTTCAAATAATGGAGTAGAATTTCGTGAAAAGACAGATAAAACAGTTGACAAATGATGCTTATGGAGCAGAAAAATGCCTTGGGGCGAAAAGGACTGAGATAAGGTTAAAGCTGGAAATTTTTAAAAACCTTTTAAAGGTTGCCTTACGGATAATTTACAGGTTATAATTGTCTAGCATAATGACAATATTGTATTTATTTAATCTTATTATTTATCAAAGAGAGATATTGAAAAATCATCATTGATATATGCAGGGTTTTTACGATAGTTGTTTACGAGCGAGAACAATAGACAAATCTTGCTGCATCTATAAACTGTATGCAGAATTTTTCAATTTAAAATTCAAAATATTTTGGAATACTATGAACAAACAGTAATACCAGAATTGTATAGAGTAAATTAAGTTTGATAAATTGATCAAAACAAGCTATGTACGGAAGAAATCTCTACGTCAGACAGAGTATTTTTAAGTTTGTTGTTGACAATATATGAACTATAGGAAAAACAAATCTCTTGAACATCGCCACTTGAAATACGATTTGATTTGCTTGAAAGTCATAAATCACTAGAATTATGCAAGAAAAATGACATACGAACAGCTAACATGTAAAAACAGCATTGTCGCTCTACGATGAAACTCTCAATCAGCTTAACAGAAAATCTTTACCGGACTGGACGTAGCATGAATTAAGCAAGTAACTGAGTAAGTTCTGTCTATAATTAAGCTTGTCAAGGAGAACAAAAAGTTAGTTTACTTATAGAATTTTTATGCGTGACTTGGTTCAAGAGCTTTCGATGTGTCGATCTTTTGGGTAAGCCTTAAAACCGTTCACAATGAACAATTCGAAAAAGGTAGCAATCAAGGTTTTCGTTCTAAGTGTTAATACGTTCCTTGACGCACGTACAAAAAAGGTACCCTAAAACACCGCAAAAGAGTTGAAAATATTATCTCAAAACCGCTCCAGGGTAAAAGAAAAAAAAAAAGAAAAAAAGAATGTCGATCCTGCACGATAATAGTCAGTCGGCCTAATACAACGTACTTTTATCGAGGGAAAGTTTGCTTGGGCTTCCGCTTCTCAGACCATGTCATTCTCTTGAGTATTATTTCTTTCTTCATCAGTGAAGTTTCTCATCTCAGCCATGTCATTCTCTTGAGTATTATTTCTTTCTTCATCANTCTTTCTTCATCAGTGAAGTTTCTCATCTCAGCCATGTCATTCTCTTGAGTATTATTTCTTTCTTCATCAGTGAAGTTTCTCATCTCAGCCATGTAATTCCCTTGAGTATTATTTCTTTCTTCACCAGTAATGTTATCTCATCTCAGACCATGTCATTGCCTTGAGTATTATTTCTTTCTTCACCAGTAATGCTTTTCATCTCAGCCATGTCATTCTCTTGAGTATTATTTCTTTCTTCACCAGTAATGTTTCTCATCTCGGCCATGTCATTCTCTTGAGTATATTTATTTCTCTCTTGTAACGTAATTCTTAGTTGCGTGAGCCACAGTTTTTTCTTTTCTGCTCCTTTTTCTTCTTTTCTCACTTCCTTCTATCAATTCTTATTATATTTTCTAACCTCGGATTGACAAACTCAACCGAATCGACAGCCACACTCGTTGCTTTGCTTTGCTTTGCTTTGCTTTGCAACACACTCCATCGATTCCATCTCCATGTCTAATTATATATCTCAAAGATCAATTAAAGACTTCACCTTGTATTTTCAATTCTGCAAATGGATATTTCAATGACCCACTTGACACATAAGAACTTCTCATATAGCGCGCTCTACTTATTAAATTAGATTAATAGAGGATCAATATCATCCACCCTCCTTATGTCAGTTGGTGATTAGTCTTAGTTGGTACTTAACGTCATTTAAAAATAAGGTTTTGTGTATAATAATCAGAAGATTCGGTTTAAAAGACTAACATTTCATCCTATGGGATTCACAGTAAGGCAGAGCTTGCAGTAGAGAGTTTAAAAAATTCTCGTCAGTACGACAATCGTGAAAGGTCAGTTGATCAGTAAAAAAATTCTTTAAAATTAGCAAAAATGAATCTTAAAATCATCTCCAATTAGTAGATAAACAAAAGAACATTTGTCTTTGGGGGGAAGGTTTCAAAAGAGGAAGTAAGATACAGGGAAACGATGAAAACGTGGTCGTGTTTGCCGTTTGCTTGAAGGAAAAACGGGTATTTTAATTATATAGACTGGAACAATAGAGCACATTCAAGTGCTTGAAAACGAATTTATGCGGGTTAAACGAAGATCTTTATGTTCATGATAATATATACACATGACTGACATGTGATATAGAGGCTATTGCAACATATATCTATTTATTTATCAATTAAGCCCCGTTTTTTTGCGATTTTTTCTGCGATTTTTTTGCGATTTTGTCCATAATAAATGATGGTAAAAAATTTACTTGTAAAGTTTCTTTTCAGGATAATTCCAAGATTTTCCTAGACGAATGTCTCTTTTGAAGGATGAGACAAAAGATTTTATATTTCCGAAAATTGCTACAAAAATCGCAGCAAAAATCGCCGCAAAAATCGCCGCAAAAATCGACAGTGTAAACGGGCTTTAAAAAAAGGACGTCAAATTCGAAAGACACGCTCGTTTTTATTTTGGATTGATTGAAGTAGAGCTCAAATAAAAAAAAAAAAAAAAAAAAAAAAAAAAAAAAAAAAAAAAAAAAAAAAAGCAGTTTCTATCGTATCATTTTTCATTTTCGACTCATAAAGATAATATAACGGTGTTTCAATTCCCGGTCCCTGATATAAGACAAGAACACTGATATTTAAGCATGAGTATAGTCAAGTGTGTGGCGGATCTGTAGGGAATCGAACAGATATCGAACAGCCATACAATATTACACTCACGCATAATGTCTCTGGTATTTCCGTTGTTAGTGCGCTACGGCAGCATACAAACTAGACCTTGATATTAATGTTCAATATAACTATGATTATGAACACGATAAAGAGAAATCCGTTCCGCATTACCTGGAGTATTTTTAGTCATATCTTGTAGCTTAGGCATCGTAATTTATTTATTTAAGTGACTAATATAAGTTCTTATTAACCATCCCCGCGGGCTGTTCTTCCATTGGCTACAATAATGCCATGTATCTTCTACCTTCTTCTCTCTCTTTTGTAGAAATCTCCTACATAATACTCGTACTTTTATCAGTATTCCATCCTATTCCATCCCTCAAGGAAATCAGTATCTTGATCGTTAAATAATTCTAATGTTTATTCTTTTATCCCGTCCCATATTGACAGAAATTCGCCACCCATATTCGCCACATTGCAGTCTTTTCTCTTTTTCAAAAGTTAAGTTCATAGATTTTGCCCCATCCACTCCTAGAGAGTACTGACATTGTATCTCCCCCTCACCTCCCCCCAATGTCATTCATTGTCAGTATTTGAATTTCTAATAAATGAAGAGAACAGATACCACCCTGCTAAGACAAGCTGTAGAAGTTTTATCGTCATTAGATTAAACGTACTGAGAATTAAACAGATACGATGAATCTAGAACCTCTTTGCTTCGATTCCCCTTATGCGTGCTTAAGCCTATATTCGGTAAAATCCTCAAATCCTCGAATGAATATTGCCCATGCACTTAAGTCTAATATAAGACAGTTCTATAGCAACTTGTTTTACATCCACTTATGAATCCTATTCTAGATGTCACAATTACCACCTTAATGGACCTGTACGGATATCACGAAGATATTCACTAGTGCATCTTCAAGACTGGCTTATGGGTCAACACACTTGAACGCGAGGACAACAAGACGCGAGAGAAAGGATTCCTTCTCGCACCGATCGTCGCGCCGTACTTGGGGAAAAGAAACAAGAACACAAAGTAAGAAAAAAACACGTTTGATATATTATTTTATTTTTTGGTGGTCAATTTATTGATGTTTACTTTGCTTGTGAATAATTATGATGTTATTAGGGTTTCATTTGTCGACTAAGTGTGAAAAACATACCAAAACAAAATTAAAAAGCCAGCTGCAGTTGTTTTGTTGAAAAGAACATCTTATTCTGTCAGCTTAGAAATATTAATTTCATTTCTAGCGAAAGAAAACGGGTCGTATAACTGTTTTCTTTACAGTGTCTTTACATAATTTTTATTTCAAAACTAGAATCTGACGAAGATGATGCCAAGCGCCGAAATTGCTCTTTTAACTTTATTTTCAACCATGGCGACTATTGGTTTAGTTGGCAATCTTCTCGTGTGCTTCATCATTCAGCGTAACAGACCAGTCAAAAGACCCATCAACTATCTATTCCTAAACCTTGCAGTATCTGACGCTATCGTCTTGTTATTTCTGTCTTCAAAATACGTTTTGATTCACACATATGAGCATCCTACTGGAAATATTGGAGACTTTCTTTGCAAGTTCCTAACGGGAGGTTCACTAGCATGGACAGGTGCTATATCATCTGTATGTACAATGATTTGTATTTCATTCGAACGCTTCTACATTGTCCTAAAACCATGCTACTACCTTAAAGTCTTCAAAGTATCGAATATCAAAGTTGCTTTAGTGTTCTCGTGGGTGTTTGCTGTTGTATTCAACATCCCTTTGTTCATATTCGGGAATTTTGACGCGGACAAAGAGCACTGCACTGAAGCTTGGCCTCCGGGAGGTTTCTCAAAGTTCTACGCATTGACATGGCTAGCCGTTGTTGCTGTTATTCCTGCTGTAGTAGTATTCGTTGTCTATTCACAAATTATTTACATTCTGTGGATAAAGAAGAACACAACAACAACAGCTATAACAAGAACTGCAATGCACAAGGCAAGAAGAAAGGTTACTAAAGTGGTGTATATCATTAGCCTGATCTATTGTGTGAGTTGGTTCCCGCCTCTGATTATCAACGTCATAGCTGTTTTCGCGCCAAATCGACATATCGGTGACGTCACGTACGAAGCGGCTGTGTTTCTTATTGTCATCAATTCATCTGTCAACCCGTTGGTCTATACTTTTCAAAGCGCACGTTTCAGACAGCATTTGAGACATTTGTTTTGTAGACGCAAAGCAAAGAATAGTGTTTGTCCACAAGGAGGGGAGACAAACCAGGCCGCGTGGATACCCCCCCTTAGTAACAATAGATGTAATGGAGGACAGGTGAAGGAGCTTCAGGTTGCATCTCAAGACTTGTTATTCCTTTGGCTCACAGGACCGTGAAACATACAACCCACAATCCATTGCGAGAGATCTCACGTCAATCATTATGACGTCACATATTAGTGTTTCGTGGATTGATATTTTCTAGAAACGTCTGTGTGTTTTGCCTATCAAACCCGTCTGATTATGAGAAAAACTACACCCAATAGAAGTCAGTAGTGCAAAACGGATCTCAAAATGAAATATGTCGGCGTTATCGTGCTTATAAACCCACTTTGATAAAACTGCAAGATTCGAAATTGCGAGAAAATTTGAATCGTCTAACTTGTGCTTTGATCTTCCTTATCAAAACACGATTTAATCGATCGATACAAAATCCCACGAGAAAAAAATAATCAATTCATCGAGACAAGAATTATCTGTACTGAATGAAGGACTTGGTAGCCATGGTAATGAAGATCCACGTCAGCACATAAATCAATAGAGCCAAGGAACAGTGACTATAATATATTTATTTTGCAAGGAGTAATGTGGTAGAATGTATTCATACATTATCATGCATCACGTATCTATACTAACGGTTATAATCCCATGCACGTAGTTGTCTATATTGAGTACACAGACAATTTCGCCTTTGGAAATAAAACTGTTTCAAAGGCGCTTGTCTTATGAGTCATCGCGGTAAATCATAACGAGAGTCTTTTAGAAGCCAAAACCAGGCTAAACCAACATGTTTATTGTAGTGAATACATCTCTTTTTGTAGAAATACACGCACGGTCAGTAATGAGCGGCTATTAACGATAAATTGAAGTATTCACTGCTCAGTACTAGAGTGCACGCACTAAATCCGTTAACATTAATTAGTACTAATTAGTACTATTTCATACAGAATCCTTTGTTTTCTATTGTTTATTTATCACCATTTAGTACTAAAAGTTAGTATTTGTTTCACGGGTTTAGTGCGTGCACTCTAAGATGAACAGAACTAGTATCAATGATAATTAATTCTATTGGCTAGTAATAATATTTCAGTTGAATCGAGTACATAGCTTAATATGCAAACAATCTCAAGCAACAGCAACTATCGTAGGGCGCATGCGTGGACTTGGGTTAATCCGCTTTGAAGTCGTGATTATCTCATGTGTAACTCTAGAAGAAAGAAATCTATCCTAGAATAACTAACGAAGCTAAGCGAACTAAACAAAACTACTACAAAAAAATTTCCAAGAAAAAAGGCTTGTATTTTGAATTTACTTGAACGTAGTTTTCTTCTTGGTTTTAATCTTGCTTGTTGACTTTTTCTTGTTTCTTTTGTGCGAGTTGTTTCCTCCAGGCAGGCATGCTTGAGTTCTTCTCATCTTCTCTTATCCTAAACCAAGTTAAAAAAAAAAAAGATTGAGAACAATTAAGTTAAGGAATTTGCAGCCCCATTAGGACATGAAAACCTTCAAATGACATCGTAATCGTCTATTTTACGAGGGTAGCATTCAATAGCCAGTGTATAAAAAACCTCTGACACTCGTTTTTCGATCAAATTGGAATTTAGAAGATTATTTTTTTGCGTAGGGAGGAAGGGAAATCGAAGAAAAAACCCTCGAAGCACAGGAGAGAACTAACAAGCAACTTAACTCACATACGACACCGAGTTGGAAATCGAATCCGGGTCGCCCTGATGAGAGGCGAGCGCTTTTACCATTACGTCATCCGTGCCTTCCCTAACTCCATTCTGTACTCACATTGTTCTCAAAGCGTCGCGTCTGCAAAGACCCTGGGTTCCAGTTCACTCTCACCTGTCAAGTTCCCTGCGCTGCATGATGGGTATTTTCCAGGCAGGAACTCCTTCCCATTTATTGCTCACTTCTTCTTCCTGTTAGAAATCAAAAGAAAACTCCATAAGAAACAGATATAAGCATAGAACAAGAGGAATATCTCGCGATAAATGTAATTCAAGTTAACCAGAAAGCTCTCAGTAAACTTGCATTAAGTTTACATTGATCGTGACCAATTTTTTTTCATACATCTCATTGAGCGATTTTTCCGATTACTCTCCGAAATGTTCCCGACTCTTCATCGAGTTTTTCCGAATACTCTCCGAGTTTTTCAAGCCTTCTTTCCTTAACGACCGGTACTCCCAGGTACTCAATTCCAGACCAAGGCGTCGGGTTTTACCCTATACTCAATGATAGTTTTACTCACTTTTTTTCTCTTCTCGAGTTCTGCAGACTGTTCCTTCATGATGCGATTTTTTAAAACTTGACGCTTCCATTCTGGCAAGCTTCTCCAAGTTTCATCATCCGGCAGTGATTCTGGTTCTAACGCTAAACCATTAAATTTTCTATTAATTAGTTGGTAAGGTCTAACGAAATCCCCTGCATTCTAGCTAATTTTGAAAAGGAAAAATGTTTGTGGGAGAGTAAAGCGCAACACAAACACTTCCAAGTATTGCATGGTACAGTAACACGCAGTGCTGCAGGTAAGTACAGGAAAGCACGTCTATGTTCTGCGCGCGACAGAACAAATTGGTTCAACAGGTACAGTACGGTACAGCATGGCACAGCAAACCACAACACAGCACTACAAACCACAGCACAGCACGGCACGGCACGGCACAGCATAGCACAGCAAACCACAACACAGCACTACAAACCACAGCACTACAAACCACAGCACTACAAACCACAGCACAGCACGGCACGGCACGGCACGGCACANACGGGTTTAGTGCGTGCACTCTAAGATGAACAGAACTAGTATCAATGATAATTAATTCTATTGGCTAGTAATAATATTTCAGTTGAATCGAGTACATAGCTTAATATGCAAACAATCTCAAGCAACAGCAACTATCGTAGGGCGCATGCGTGGACTTGGGTTAATCCGCTTTGAAGTCGTGATTATCTCATGTGTAACTCTAGAAGAAAGAAATCTATCCTAGAATAACTAACGAAGCTAAGCGAACTAAACAAAACTACTACAAAAAAATTTCCAAGAAAAAAGGCTTGTATTTTGAATTTACTTGAACGTAGTTTTCTTCTTGGTTTTAATCTTGCTTGTTGACTTTTTCTTGTTTCTTTTGTGCGAGTTGTTTCCTCCAGGCAGGCATGCTTGAGTTCTTCTCATCTTCTCTTATCCTAAACCAAGTTAAAAAAAAAAAAGATTGAGAACAATTAAGTTAAGGAATTTGCAGCCCCATTAGGACATGAAAACCTTCAAATGACATCGTAATCGTCTATTTTACGAGGGTAGCATTCAATAGCCAGTGTATAAAAAACCTCTGACACTCGTTTTTCGATCAAATTGGAATTTAGAAGATTATTTTTTTGCGTAGGGAGGAAGGGAAATCGAAGAAAAAACCCTCGAAGCACAGGAGAGAACTAACAAGCAACTTAACTCACATACGACACCGAGTTGGAAATCGAATCCGGGTCGCCCTGATGAGAGGCGAGCGCTTTTACCATTACGTCATCCGTGCCTTCCCTAACTCCATTCTGTACTCACATTGTTCTCAAAGCGTCGCGTCTGCAAAGACCCTGGGTTCCAGTTCACTCTCACCTGTCAAGTTCCCTGCGCTGCATGATGGGTATTTTCCAGGCAGGAACTCCTTCCCATTTATTGCTCACTTCTTCTTCCTGTTAGAAATCAAAAGAAAACTCCATAAGAAACAGATATAAGCATAGAACAAGAGGAATATCTCGCGATAAATGTAATTCAAGTTAACCAGAAAGCTCTCAGTAAACTTGCATTAAGTTTACATTGATCGTGACCAATTTTTTTTCATACATCTCATTGAGCGATTTTTCCGATTACTCTCCGAAATGTTCCCGACTCTTCATCGAGTTTTTCCGAATACTCTCCGAGTTTTTCAAGCCTTCTTTCCTTAACGACCGGTACTCCCAGGTACTCAATTCCAGACCAAGGCGTCGGGTTTTACCCTATACTCAATGATAGTTTTACTCACTTTTTTTCTCTTCTCGAGTTCTGCAGACTGTTCCTTCATGATGCGATTTTTTAAAACTTGACGCTTCCATTCTGGCAAGCTTCTCCAAGTTTCATCATCCGGCAGTGATTCTGGTTCTAACGCTAAACCATTAAATTTTCTATTAATTAGTTGGTAAGGTCTAACGAAATCCCCTGCATTCTAGCTAATTTTGAAAAGGAAAAATGTTTGTGGGAGAGTAAAGCGCAACACAAACACTTCCAAGTATTGCATGGTACAGTAACACGCAGTGCTGCAGGTAAGTACAGGAAAGCACGTCTATGTTCTGCGCGCGACAGAACAAATTGGTTCAACAGGTACAGTACGGTACAGCATGGCACAGCAAACCACAACACAGCACTACAAACCACAGCACAGCACGGCACGGCACGGCACGGCACGGCACGGCACAGCACAGCACACCTACTTTACCTTTTATGTTTGTGCAGCGCACATCAAGTAACATAGAATAACGCAACCGATACCATAACACCAGTAAGTATTCATAAGAGAAGACAAGACAAGACAAAACTTACCTGAGTTTGAAGCTTCACCAAAATGCGGCAAAGGTATGAGTTGTTGTTTTCGTAAAGGTACAAAATCCTTCTTGACTTCACTCTTCTCTCTGGGTAAACTCTTCGACTTCTCGTCATCTGTTGTGGTATCATAATTTTCTTCATCCAAAACAGATTCCCGATCAGTCTCTGATGAGTGTGGAGACGGACTAGGCCAAGTGTCTGGGTTTGGACTCATGGATTGGTCTAGCGACTGTTCATCAGAGCTCGACTCAAACGACTTCTCTTTCTTGACTGGAGTTTCAAGAGACTCAGGAGATCTTGGTGGACCATCAGGGCTCTCGGACCTCAAAGAGTCGCATCTAAGGGGAACGGTATTAGCAGGACTTGGTGATGAAGTCATAGAAGTAACACTATCTTGATCCAAAGCAACGCTATTCTCTTCGACAGGATCAGTGATTTCATCCACTGGAGATTCACTCTCATTTTCGTCCATATTTTTATTCTCATTCTTGATATTCTCATTTACTGTGTCTTGTTGAGTTTTCGAGACGGTGACGGGAGATTTTCCGCGAGAGCGTGAGGCTTGAATCTTGGACGCGAATTCCTCGACATGTCTTGCTGCTATTTCACCAGAGCGGTGATCAAAGTCATGAACAGGTGTCGGGCAATTGCATCCATTCTGTAGCTTGGTATTCAACATTCGTGTGCACATTTTAGCCGCGTTGAGCACTTCTTCTGTCAGCTGTTCTTGTGATAAAGCATCAAATTCAAGTGCATTTTCTTTATTCTTGCTGTACGCATCAACATCTGACGATACAAATTCATCTTCATTGGTCTTTTGAGTCAAGGAAAAAACAGGCGGTAACGGCGAGTACCTAGACATGTTACCGTTATCCATCAAATGACTGCGAAGGTTCTTGTCTTCTTTCTCATATGTAACCACCACTTCAGACTTCTCCTTAGACTCTTTCTCCTCTACCTGATCAATGATGACGTCATTCCACTCATTCGTCTTGCCGTACAGTAGAAGTGGAGGAACTGGGGACGAGCTAGGCGAGACTTCAGGTGAGCACTCAAGAGGGGGCACATCGGGTCCAACTGCAGACTTAGGGGAGGGGGGTCGTTCGGCTGGTTTGGGTTTTTTCTTTAAGACGTGCAAGAATGAAGAGCCAGTGTCTTTCTCTACTATTTGTTTGTCAAAATCTTTTGAATAGTTACTCATTTTCGCTGCTCTTATTTTTAGAATCTGAAAAGTTTTTCAACAAGAATAGAACAAAGAATAAGAATGAGAACAAATGAACTGCAACGACTTGTGTAGAATGACAATAACAAGACGGTTTGAACAAACTGCCAAGAAGATTGATCACCTTGGAGGCAGCATCCTTCATGTACTCGTAGCACTGTTTGTGTCCGTATTTATCTGCTAGATCTATCGGGCTCATTCCACTGTTATCCTTTAACTTTGTATCAAGAAGAGCTACTTCAACGAGGAACTGTATAGCCTAGGCAAAAAAAAAAAAAAAAAACACAAACAATTATTATGATTAAAAAACAAAAAAAAAAAAAAAAAAAAAAAATTATATATGTACCTTGTATTGCCCCTTCTCTGAAGCATCATGTAGAGGTGTTCCTCCAAGAGAGTCTTTGACGTTGAGATTGCTGCGCTTGTGAAGCCATTTTAGAACTGTCACATGTCCTGAATGGTAAAAAATGTATTTTCAGCATTTTATCAAAACCTAATTATATTCCCCTGAAATATTTATCATGATCTCCTTTTTGGAGCATATATGATAGAGAATACAATGTTTTTATCAAGTATAACGTGAATATTTAAGTCATTTACTCATGGGTGTCATTTGCTGCATTCATGTCTTTGTAGTTCATTTCTGTTGTTGTGTGTTCAAGTTTTCGGCAAACTGCATATGTTAGTTGAGTTTGTTTGACATGTGGTTCTCTCCCTTGCTACAAGGAGTTTTCTCAGGGGGTCTCCCATTTTCCTTCCTGCGTACAAAATAACATGTGAGTTGAGAGTTGTGTGTTGTAAATATAGAATGTAGTGGTAATGCGTGTGGAGGGAACCTCACAGAAGAGCCCTGTATGGGGAGTGGTGGTTGTGTAAGTATTAAGTACCTTCACCAGCAGCATAATGGGCAGGTGTTGCGCCTGTGATGTCTGGTTCTATTTCTTTAGCAAGACCCTGCACAACCTACAAATAAACAAGAGAGATATTCAAAACTGTAACAAATGGAATGTGCACATCTTCTGGGATTTTTCCATTCATTTTTTATACATTGCATTTCATTTAGATTTCAAAAATATAAAAATGAAATGGAGAATAAAAAAAAGGGAAATGGTGGAAATAGTTGACAGGCAACATTGAGCCAGAAACTTGGTATGACTGTCCTAAAACTAATCAGTTTTAAAACTACAGAGTGAAATACAAATAAGATGCCACATACCAAGTATCCCAGACAATCAAGGTGTCCATTCTGTGCTGCTGCATGTATCAAGTGCATCCCATCTCTACTTTTTGTTTCACATCTTGCACCAACAGTATGAAGGTATTTGAGGCAACTGAAATGGCCATTTTGAGCTGCGAGGTAAGCTGGTGTGGTTCCATCTGTAGCTCTCTCATTGACAGCACTGGAAATAGAAAATGAATGAATAAAAGAGTGAAAGAAAAATGGATGAATGATACATGGTTGAAAGAAAAATCAAATGAAGAAAAATATGGTAAGGAAAAGAAGGTACTACAAATGAATGGATGAATGTGGAATAAATGGATTTTAAGAAAGATGGATGGAATAGTGGGATAAAATGTGCGAGTAAACAGAAAAAAATTACGCATTATGATAACAAAATGCATGTAAAACTTGGTAAATATTATTTTGTACGATCTGTTAAGAAAATTAGTTGACAAAGTTTTAAAATCCTGACAAAGTGAAGTGAATTTAATCAGTTAAGTATAAAATGTTACTGAAGCCAATTCCTATCAATGTATGTGGAATTATTTGGAAACTAATGAGTCATAGTACCTTGGATTAAAAAAAATACAATTAAACGTTTCTCTTTTATGCACTGAGAATATTCTTATTCAAATTTTAAAAAAAAGGTAATCTTTTAAGCTTGTCAAAAAAAAAAAAAAAAATCCTCCAAAAATTCCTGGATTATTTGGTAGTAAAGCCAAGGTATAACTTAATCTAAAAGGGTCCAAAAATTTTGAAAGTTTTAGAAAATTTAAAAAACAACATGCATAACAGCTGCCCTATTAACATATTAGCACATTAGATACCAGAACATTAAAATTTTCTTACACTGGATTTAACTTTGATATCAGGAATTCCAAGCATTTCAAGTGGCCACCAATTGCTGCAAAATGCACGGGAGACATCTTATTCAGGGTCTTTAGCCTGGGATTACATTTAGCTTTTTCAACCAGCCATTTCACGATATCTAAGTAGCCGAATCGTGCTGCCAAGTGTAGAGGTGCATGCCCAGAGTTATCGGTGACATCAGGGCTTAAATTACATTCTTGGATGAAGAATTTCACACACAGTAATTTTCCTTGTGTACAAGCGTCGTGTAGCGGCGTAGCCCCATTTTTTGCTTTTAGTTTGGCTTTCATTCCAGTCTTTTCTACCATCCACCTAAGGCAATCTAGTTTGCCATATCTTGTGGCATGATGTAGCGCTGTGGCGCCGAATGAATCGAAAGCGAACGGTACAGATCTCTTTAGGGATTGCAGCGTAGAGATATCACCGTCTCTTGCAGCAGCCAAAACTCTCTCAGCCTCTTCCGCCATAATGAAATTTAAACTTATCTCTACAAAGAGTCAAAGATAATCCATTTCCTCTTTCAAAACTTTGTTTACTTTGCGATAACTTCTTTCGACTTCTGGTCCCTCTGAGTCTCAGGAATGATCTTGAATAAGTAAGCTTATTAATTATTGAAAAGATTCATGTTATCAGCTTGACAATACTTGCCAAACATTTGGTATCTAACGAGTAAGCGACCACACAGTTGGGATGATAACATTCATGTCTTCAGCCCACGGTATCCACTCCTTGTGAGAACAACTCACCATAAAAACAACGACAAGGAGAGAGATAAATAAAAATTTTTCTTTTATAAGTCCCATTTTACAAGGTTGATGTAGCGGTTCTAGAAAAAGTCGTGGGATACGAAAGAATTCTCGACAAATCTCCAAGAATTCACAATAAGCCACAGTAAAATCCACCTGTCTGTCAAACCAGCACGACATTTTCTTCCCTTTCGATCGCAGTAATGACGTCGTTAGCAACTTTTTCAAAATTTCCAATGGGGTTAATATTTTAAATAATTTTAAGACCAAAAATCTCATGAATAAATAAAATAGTTTGTTTTCAAATTAATCCGCCATCTTGGACGTGTCGAGGAAGAAAGCCTGGGAACTAAAGTGAGCCCGCGAGTATATTCACCAGCGGTTATTATACTTAGCGCATGCGTATTGGTGTGTAGTTCCCATTCTCTCGAACCGTGACAGTGTTTGATCCAAGATGGCGGCCAATGTTCCTGCTTCAAACACTAACACGACTACAGCCAGTATTTCTAGCGCTTCTGCTGGTTCTAATCCTGTAGTCTCGACGCAGCAATCTCAATCAACAGCAGCTTCAGCTAATTCAGCTGCCACTGCGCCGCAAGATACGAAATTGCGTTCGGCGGGAGCTTCGTTATCGGAGTTTATGACACAATTAGATGACTACACGCCAACGGTGTGTTTAATATTTGTTGGTTTGTTCAGGATTATTGTTTTATTATACTAATGGCTGGTCCTGGTTATCTTTTTAGATACCTGATGCTGTGACAGCTTATTATCTTAACCGAGCAGGATTTGATGCTTCAGACATTAGAGTGTAAGTTTATATAGTTCTCTTCTTACAACCCCATTACTTTCCCATATCTCTTTCCCCGTTCCTCCATTCATTCCCTACCTTCCCTTCCCTCCATCCCTTCCCTCCATCCCTTTCCTCCATCCCATCCCTTCCCCACTATTCCTTTCCCTGGCCATCCCTCCACACCCTCCCATCCCCATCCCTCACTCCCTTCCACCCAAACCTACCAACACCTAATTTGCGATGTAAATTCCACTTTATTGCTGAAGACTAGCAAGGAAAGAAAATGGAATGGAATTCTCCTCATCTCTTGTTATGCCATGATACCAACACTATACTACCAAAGTCCTTTGCATAGTATGGTACAACCCGGTTAAATATTATGCATGTGTACAAACATTAATGCCCTATTGTTCTTTTATTTTTCTTTGGTCATTTTCAAACAGTGCATGGCTGGGTATTCTGAAAATGCATGCTCCCTTAACTCCTTTTTTAGCCCTAACAACCACTGTCTTGCAACTCTCAAAAGTGTTCAAAGATCTAGTTGTATCAGATTGGATGATTTATTTTTGTATTTCTATCCAGGGTTCGCCTTGTCTCGTTATCAGCCCAAAAGTTTATATCAGATGTTGCCAATGATGCATTACAGCACTGTAAGATGAGGGGGTCTGGACAGAGTTCTAGGAAATCGGGAAAGGTAGGCAAAAATATCCCGTATTCATGAAGATATGATGGGTTATTGACTACATGTACCATCAATCAAATCATGATAGCACATACAGATATGTGTGAACCATACTTTGATTGACTGTAGTCTACTGCAGATTAACCTATTGCAACTTTTGTCTTGATCATCACATACAGTAGCAATAAAAACAGGGATCAGCTCTGAAGCAAATTTTAATTGGCCTAAAGAAATTAGTCTTATAAGCCTGAAGTGAGATGATGTTTTACCCCCGTCTCTAGACCATAATCCTTTTTGAAATTCTTTCATATTAAAATTTTTGATTCCTTAGAGAATACAGGAACAATAGTCATAATTAAAGAACAAAAGCAATGTGAAAAGGATTATGGTCTAGAGACGGGGGTAAAAATGCATCTCGCTTCAGGCTTATTAGATGTTATTGGTTTCACTATAAATTCTATTGCTTTTGTTTATTGTTTACTTTTTTCCTTGGGAATCCTTGCAAACATTTTGACAAGATGTTCCTCTACATTTCAGGACAAGAGATATACACTAACAATGGAGGATCTTACCCCTGCACTCAGTGAATATGGTATCAATGTTAAAAAACCACCTTACTTTGTATAGTCAATTTATAATGTAGATTGTAGAAAATCAAAGACCTGTATATAGTAGATATTGTGTTATCATACCTGGGACACTAGATTTTTCTCACGTAACAGCCATGTTTATTCCCGTGAGAATCAAAACCTGTTTACACCTAGGTTATGCTTTGAGGTGGGGAAAGAAAGGCCCTATTTATCTAGAGTATGCCTGGGTAAACTCATCCAGTATTACTTATGATATATTTATAGGCATCCAGGGAAAATATATCATTTCAACTAACATGAGAAAAGAAAATAGAATTTCTGATTGCATTGTCAAATATATTAACTTGAAATGCTATCAAAATGTCTGTAATTAGGTTTGAATTAATCAGTTTGTTGACCTGGACTCTTTGAGGGCAAGGTGAGCATCTGGTTTCTTCTATGTACATCTAATGATAATTGCTACCCAAGCTTCTGGTTGTTAAGCCCATCATCAGGGGATGTGAAAAGAGTTTGAAAAATGACAAAAAATTAACATAATATCAGTATACAGGTAGCTTTTTTTGATTATTTCAGTGCGATGCCCAAAAGAGTATTAACAGCGATAATGTATTCACATAACGAAACAGGTCACATTCGTGAGAGGCGCAAATTAGCTTCCTCGAAAGTTAATAGATTTACTATGCCTGAAAGATATCTGTCGACAGATATGATAATATTAAATTCAACATGTACAAGACTCTGATTCACTTCTGTAGCATTTCTTTATTTTGTCTGGTTAATTTATTTTACACAAATAAATTATTGCTGAAAATCCAAAATAAATTCATTTAATCTCAAACATAGAGACATCTTATTTAACATTTATTCCCTAGCTTAGATACACTAAACTGACTCTTTTTCAAAGAAGTATAGCTAGTATTTAAATAATAATATGTTAATATAATTATAGTGGGCAGAAATATTCTCTTACTCTAAGATTTACCTTGGCTCACAGACTGTAGTGAGAAGCTTACAATCATCTTTAAGAGTATCTTGTACCTATTGTTGCAAGGGAAAGAAAAAAATGATGGCCAACTAATTGCTGTCCTGATACTTGTTTATGGTGTTAACTAACTATTTCATTTATTACACGTTCTTAATTAACTTATTAATGTTAAATTTAAATTTTTGTCTGAATTGTACTCAAAATAAATTCTTAACTATTGCTTTCAATTTAGTTTATTAAGTTTTGGCGTTTGGGTCCAGAATCTTTTATTATCCTACAAGTTATTGCAGGGCTTTAAATAACGGCCAAACATCAGACCAAGCCTGGCCAGAATTGGAAGTTAATTGTCTGGTAAAATCTTTGCCTTTAAGATATGACATCTTTGCCTTGCTGGTCATTTCAGCCAGTAACATTGAGCCAGAAACAATGTYGACCAAGCTAAAACTAATTTGGCTTGTCATCATAATAGTTAACTTATTGGCCGTTGTCCCGTTATCCCGTTAGCCCTGGGCCCAGTTGTTCAAAGCCAGATTAGTTCTAATCCTGGGTTAACTCTTAATAAGACCTATAGAGTTAATTCTGGATTAGCGCTAATCCAGTTTTAAACAACCCGGCCCAGGGTTGTAAATTTATGGTTCAATTTTTATAATGTGTATAATCATTTCCTGTCAGTTTTGTGGTATTTGGTACTGTATGATGATTGTTGTTCATGCTAGAGTAGTGCTGTAATATTTGGGTATAGCAGGAGATGACAGACTTATAGAACCATTGGTCTTGAACGTCCATATGACACTACCATCGTTTTCATTCAGAGCATAAAGAGTTGAATCTGTACTAGCGGCATAGACAACAGAGTCGGTTCCCACTGCTGTTGATGCTGAAACATAGTCTTTAGTAGCTGGTCCCCAGATGATATCGGTCGTAGTCTGATTGATGGCTAGTACACGCCCATCTCCGACACCAACAAAGATCTAAGAATTGAGAAATAACGGTAATTAATATATTGTTAATCTAAATACTTTGCGAAGTATAGTCTTGGTTTGTGGTTGGAGTTTGTGCCTTGAAGATCAAACTATAGATCTCTAACTTAGCAGGCAGCACACTAGCCCATTAAACCATCATATATACTTGGAACATTGACTGATGATATCTTACCTTGCCACTCTCCGTAACAGTAGGTGATGATACTACTTCTCCCCCAGCATCTAAAGTCCATTTAACAGTTCCTCTTAATGGTCCGGCATGAGTATTAACTGCTAATATTTTACCACTAATAAGACCAACATAGAGTGTTCCATCGGCTTTACTAACGTAAGGTGAAGACTCTATCTCGGAACCTGTGTCTAATGTCCATATTGGGCTTCCTGTGTCAGTATCAAGGGCATAGATGTTCTTGTCCAGAGAACAGAAGTAGACAACCTGAAAGTGGAACACCACAAAGTGTAACTGTATAGGCTGAAGGATATCAAATGATTTTTGCATTCAAATAGCTTTCTGCATTCAAATAGATTCTGCATTCAAATAGCTTCTTGCACTCAAATGGCTTCTGCATTCAAATAGCTTCTGCATGCAAATGGCTTCTGCATTCAAATGGGTTCTTGTAATTCAAATGGTTTCTTGCACTCAAATGGCTTCTGCATTCAAATAGCTTCTGCATGCAAATGGTCATTTCTATAAGTATGTTGAACAGGACTTACCTTCCCATCTGCACTCACTGCTGGTGATGACATTATTTTCCCAGCCTTGTCAAACTGCCATAAAACTTCACCAGTCTTCATATCAAGAGCGAATACCCTTGGGCCCTTATCTGCAGATGTTCCTGCATATAGGGCACCCTTTTCTTCACCTAAGGCAACCCTACCATAAATAGGTCCACCAAGGGACTTCCTCCAAATAGTGGTACCGTTATCAGAATCAAGAGAGTATAGATATCCATCGTGAGATCCTACATAAATTGTCCCTGTCTTTGACACACTAGGACTTGCTACTACACCTCCTTTAGTCTGAACACTCCAGAAGAGCTTTCCAGTTGATGCTGCTACAGCATAGATATTGCCATCATTTGACCCAAAGAATAATCGCTCACTGTCTGGGCTGAATGCTGCTGTTGATAGAATCTTGCCTTTGGTGGGGAACTTCCACTGAAGATCACCATACAAAATGCCTACAGCATACATGTTGTTGTCCTCAGATCCCACGTAGACAAAAGGCTGGAATTTTGAAATATTATCTAAGACTGAAATACAAAAGATTGTCTCATTAATGTATCGACTCTCAAGTTTATTGAACCCTGAAACAAACTCTTCATTGGAGAGATCTAAGTCAGGGCATGGCTAACTCACAGATCCAACCCTGAAACAACCTCTGGGCTGATCTAAGTCAAGGCACGACTAACTCACAGATTGAACCCTGAAACAACCTCAGGGCTGATCTAAGTCAAGGCACGGCTAACTCACAGATAGAACCCTGAAACAACCTCTGGGCTGATCTAAGTCAAGGCAAGGCTAACTCACAGATTAAGCCCTGAAACAACCTCTGGGCTGATCTAAGTCAGGGCATGGCTAACTCACAGATTGAATCCTGAAACAACCTCTGGGCTGATCTAAGTCARGGCACGGTTATCTCACAGATTAAACCCTGTAACAACCTCTGGGCTGATCAACTTCATGGCATGGCTAACTCACAGATTGACTCACCACATTGCTTGCAGCTTTGCCTACAGTATGTAAGCATCCAATCAGGGTCATCAATGCACCGACCAGACTCTGCCCATTCTCCACACTTCTCATCTTCATCCTCACATTTTGCTGTAAAAAAATGCATGATGGGAGTCATTAAATAAAGAACCCATTCTAGGCTGGCTTAATTACACATCTATGTCTGTTAAAGTAGCAATTTGATGTGGCATTGAACGCTTAAACATAAGTATGAGCAATCGTTTCCCAGCTCTTTAATGAGAAGACATACAGTAGGTCTTTTCTTTGTCTTCCAAGCCAGAATAGAACCATCTAGTAAAGATGATATAGGTAATCTCTTTTCCTTACCTTCTCCTCTTTCTATCCTCTCTAAAGGATGCAACTCATAGTCCACAACGTCTGTTATTGTTTCTCTCTCAGATTCAGTGAGCTCAAGGTCTAGTGCACGGAAGTTAAGATAGATGTTTCTTGGGTTGCTTGAGCGAGGTATTACTGTGACGTTTGAATGGATAGCCCAGCGAAGCACAACCTAGTATGTGCGAGATATATTGAAACTTTATATGGTACCATAAAGACACTCCTAAAAACGACCATTCATGGTCACTAAAAGACTGCATAATGCGACCAACTTTGGCGTTTTGGTTGTCCACTGAAAGAACTGTTTGTTTAATATTGTAATATAGCTAGTCAGTGAAGGTGTTCATCAATGATTCTGGTTGTTAGTGGAGGTTGGGTTTTGTGTGTGGTCAGTTTGAAAAGGTCTCTTTGTACAGTCTGTTTTGCTCAATAAAGGTTTGTTTAATTGGCTCATTTTTCTGTGCTCAGTTAGTGCAGGTTTGCAACTAATGTTTCTCGTAAGGGAACACCGTCTATAGGTCTCTTAATTGAGGTTTTTTGTCCTACCTGTGATGTAGCGTATTCGTAGTGTGCTGCCACTTCGTAAATGATAGTTGATTTTAATACAGGATTTTTCTTTAGACCATAGAAGTACACCCATCTTGTACCTAATGGATATTTTAGTATATTTTAAAACATATTTAGGCTTAGACATTACTTCATATTTTTCAGCCTTCTTTGTCTTGGCTGAAATGTTTTTGACATTTCAGGCCACGTGTCATTCTCTTGAGAATAAGATTCTTTGTTTGAGTTGTATCCATTGTCACATATCTTCTCATGCGCAACCGATAAACAAAGAAATCATACTTTAGGGAAGGGCGTGGTCTGAACTGGAAAACAATTTATGCCCAAGGCAAATTATCATCCAACCAAGTATTTCTTTCACTGGCATAGGGCCATTTCCTAGTGTGAGGATAAGTTATTGTGAATATAACTCCTTGCAAAGACGTGTGGGATCAGGAAACATTGCTCCCACTTGGTATATCACACATGCGTATCTTACCAAGTGTAGAGAAGCCGATGTAACGAATGTTGTGCTCTGAACAGAACTGTCTGGTGTTCTTATCCTGATGGAATGGATCAAACCAGTTTTGCACAGCAGATACAGGTACAGTAGCAAACTCGATCAGCTCTTGCAGTTTATCTTGGTTGAAGTTGCTGACTCCAAGGCTACGCAGTTTTCCTTTCTTCTGCATGTCTTCCATGGCCTTCCAGCTCTCTTTCCATGTTCCTTTAGGTTCCCCTTTAAACAAAAACAATTTAAACTTATTTAAAAGAGCGAGCATTTTCAAGGCTTAACAAGGTTTTGTCCTGTCTACAAGTTGCATGAATTGAAACGAGTTGAATACGTGCGCCATGCGCGACGAAGTGGGACAAAAATACACAGTAATGATTGCGCAATATCTCTCAAGATTCGCGCTGAACATTCTTTATAGCATGATCCTCCTGTAGTGTCCTACACAACCGTGTCAGTGTCGTCACGCAACGCTCACTTCCCCCTCTTCAAAAAGGGTAGCAAACCAAAAGAGGGCATGTTACTACCTTGCATCCCACTACATATTACCCCAGTGTAAGAAGACCTCTTTAAAGTGTGCTAAAGTATCGCAACATCGTATACAAACCTTTCTCGCACGTCAAAAACAAGGTGTCACAAGTCTTGGAGTGAATAAGGAACAGATCAATGTAGTCTGTGTTCAGTGCTTTAAGTGACGCTTCTATAGCATTGATGGTCGAGTCGTATCCCAGGTACTTGGGGTGAAGCTTGGTTATGATGAAGATATCGCTTCTGGGGACTCCGCTTTCTGCTATAGCTTGAGCAACGTCTTTTTCTGAGTTGATGTATGCCTGAGCTGTATCGATCATTCTGCAAAGAGATGGAGAACATGCCTGCTCATGATCGTGAATCAAAAACTTATGGGACGTAGTGGCGTGTTTCGAATCTGACTGGATGAACTACAATATTGCGCGTTTTCTGTTAGCATCTGCTAATGGCCAGAACTGGAATAGACAGTTTTCTAAAGGCGTTGCGCCATCAAGACCACAGCGCTAGCTAAATCTAGATCTTTGTAATGCGGATATGACGTCACCTACCTGTACCCAATCTTCAGAGCAGTCTTGACGGAGGTCACCGTATCCTTTAGTAACGCAGTACCAAAACCCATCACCGGCACTAGGAGTAGAGTTAAGCATAATGATCGACTAGGCGAAAAACGACAAGAGATAGGTCATTCCAAGACCCAAGAATAGCAGGAATGACTCGTGTTTCTGCTTCTTATTCTCGTCAAGAACATTAACCTTAGTGTTGAGACTGATTCAATGTTCTTTGTATTCAACGAAACCATTTCCCTATCGCCTTTGGCGATGACAACGTTTATTGAAATAGGTGTTAGTATACAGTTAGAGTGAAGTTACTAAACGCTAACCACATTAATAGACCCTAATGCCATCGTTTTCTTTTGTGTCTGTTTGACTATCCTAATACACGTTGACTAGCATTTCTTATTTCATGGGTCACATGACTGAAGGCATGCATAAATTAACAAATGAATAAGATAACGACCAGGAATAACACTTACTTGTAAACCCGCTGGCCAGGACCACATCTGGCGGGCGCTCATTTTTCTTGGGTATTCTCAGGTACTGTGTAACGGGATCGCTTATATTGATCTTCAGTATGACATTCAGGTGAGGGTTTTCGTGATCACATTCGATACGTTCAGGTTGTTTCTTCACCAGCGTGTTAAACATTTCATTTACCTAATAATATTATATCAATAGTAAGATACTGCGCATATCCTGGTTAGCACGTCACGTGTTGCGCCAAGGGCGGCGTAGCGGTACTGCACTAGCCTCACCTCTGGAGTCTCAGGTTAGATTTCTGGTCTCTTCATCACATTAAGAAAAATTCGTTAGGTCTTTCTCCTGATTCGAGATTTTTTCTGGGGTCTCTGAATTACGATTCAACCTGCGAGTTAGGCATGCCCTGACTTAGATCAGTCCAGAGGTTGTTTCAGGGTTCTATCTGTGAATTAGCCATGCCCTGACTTAGATCAGCCCAGAGGTTGTTTCAGGGTTCTATCTGTGAGTTAGCCATGCCCTGACTTAGATCAGCCCAGAGGTTGTTTCATGGTTCTGTCTGTGGGTTGGCCGTGTACTGACTTAGACCAGCCCAGAAGGTTTTAGCGGCGGTGGCGAGGAATATTTTTAATGCTGCAACATTTTTAACGGTGAAATTTTGAGTAAATAGCGCGGCTAATATTTTCCCATAATGATATCAACGCATGCGCATTGAAGCAGAGAAAAAGTACCAAATTTACCTTGATTATATCTTTGTTTTCATCCAGCCCAGCATTAACAAAATCATCTTCAAAGTTAAACTGATCAAACCAGATATTTACCGCGATGTTGGGGGATCCCTTGGACCAGACGATGTGCCACCAGTATTGTGGGATATACAACATATCACCTGTAAACAGTAAGATAGTAATTACAGGTCTCCGCTAACAGAATAAGACAAGAGAGATTTCATATGACTGTGCATGACTCATGACCATGGTAACGGTAATGGCACGGAGTTCAAAACATACGCTGAACCAATAAAAACAATGGATCCGTCTCCTCATCCATGATGGAAAAGCATTGTTGAGAGGCGCACGCCACCCACGCTTCCTTTAAACCACATTATAAAATAACTGCTCTAAATCTCGTAATCTGATTGGTTGGGAGAGCGTTTTTTTATGAGAGAACACAGCACCCGCGCGCGTTTTCTATTTCTTCAATGTAGCATGACACGATCACAGAATTGATAAAATTCGCGGCATCAATTACAATGCGCGAGATCCGTCTTCTCATCCAATCATAAATCTTCGATATGCGCAAAGCGTCATACCACAGGGGGAAGGGTGGAGTAAAGATCATTACCTGGGTACAGCGTCACTTTGTAGTAAGGAACTTCCACAAGTTTAGGGAACGATTTAAAATCTATCGCTTCAGGATCAAAGGCTAATATTCCAGGAAACAGAAAGTGTTCCTCTGCGTAAAGCTTCTCGGCGTACTTAGAATCTATCAAAATAAAGGTCTTGGTGCCCGAGAGCACGGTGATAACGTTCTCGTAGCCATCTTGGTGGAAAGCAGAGGTTGTATCTCCACTACTCATCAGCAAGTTTAAACTATTAATTTTGGACGCTAATTCACTACATCCGAGAAAATAAGGAAGAACGAGGTCATGGAACATTTTAGTTGGCGGAAACAATGAATCTAGATAAACTTCTTGGTTTTTATAAATATTCAAAAAGTCTTGTAGTTTCATGGGTTTTCTGATTGGCTGCTCGTTTTTGAATTTCTTGCGAAATTCTACGTAGAATGGCGAAGAACCGTAGTTTTCTCTCAAATATGATTCGTTGTTCCATCTTGACATTGCCGGCCAGTGATTGGCTGCTCCCCTGACAACGACAGGTCGTCTACCATGAACGAACCGATGGTAAAAGTCGGAACCGCTCGGAGAATACTTGAGAATCTTGAGACCATCTTCTGCTGGTCGGTGCGCACCAAAGGGTTTGACGTGATCTGATTGAACAAAATTGATAAGAAACATCGATTCAAGCAAACAATCACAACATGAGTTGAGTTTTGATACAGGTGGCCCCTGATATTAAAAGCGCATTGAATGAGGAGTTTGAATCAGCCAATCATGTTAAACTACGTTGGACTTTGGGCTAAGTGTTTGGGAGTCTTCTGTGACCTTTTTCCTGCCTACCTGGTGTTTTATATTCCACGAAGTTTTTAAAGACAATTAAAAATCTTCACGAGGATAAACCACAATATATATATGAACTTAACCTATTTATTCATGAAATTTCACTTTTATGATAATTATTATTATTTAAAAGATTGTAGGTAAAATATCACTGTATTGAAAACGTGAACATTAAATAAGAATAGCATCGAGAAAACACAAAGGGAACATTAATATTATTGAATAACAAATTATTATTTTAAACAAATGATGGGTTAATTTTAATGACTTTCTTGACTTTTATCCTATACAAGTCGAAATGAAATATGTTTCTTAAACCTATAAGCTTTAAATCTCTAAAATATGCAGATCATGAGTGGTGGTGTTCCTTTATTTCATTCCTTTAATTTCCTAAGAGGAATTCCAGAGTAAGGAAGGTGTAACCTAGGTACACAGTAATACCATAAGCCTACCATATGTATACTATCACATCTGGTCATAACTTACATATACTATCATTGTTAAACACATTAATATTAAAATAAAAGACATACTTATAAATAAAACAAAATAAAACACATAACTTGCTGTTTTTAGAGAGGGTGAGCATGAAAGCATTAGGAATTTGGCTAAATCCCAGAAGAAAGTTAATGACATCAAAATAGCCCAAAACAAAGCTTGAATTGAAACCAAACAAAGCATAATGTCAAATATAGATGAAAAAAATGAAAGTCATTATACACCAAAGCATTGACTACGTGGTAAACCATGAATACATTCAATACTTTCTATGAATAATGCAACTCTGAACTACAAACTTTAAAGCATATTTCAGTAAACAAAGAAAATAAAACCTTACAACAGTATTATTAAAAATAATATAGTGCATATCTTTTATTGCCAAATGTGACTAGATCTGCTTTGTTGCAAGCTAGATGTTGATTGATGCACTTTAGATGGAAATGGCTTTAATAAATGTGTTAAACAGAGCATGTAAAATGGAAATTAGTTGGCAGGGAGTAAAATAATCACTTTGATAACCAACGAGGGAACTGCTTGGCTATTAAACCACAAGCCCTTCATATATTGATTCCAAAACTACCATTATGAAGAATATATATAAAACTGTTCCAATAATTCTTTTGAAGTTGTCTAAACCAAAAACATATGAAAAAATTACTTACCCTAACCTGACAAATTAAAATATGGGGAAAATACAACATCAAAAATAAACCATTTTTATCATTTTTTCATTTTCGGTTTTCTTTACTCCTAGTTTCATCTATAATTTCTTTACGCCGCTAGCATTTTTCATAAATATTTTCTATATTTTCACTTCCTTTCTCTTCCAAATTTTCTGCCTCCYACTCAGTGCAACAGCGGAACAAAACCTGTGCAAAAGTACACGCACAGAAATGATGCTCACATTTTTTGCAATGTCTAACAAAAGGGGACATTTCTATTGTTCTAGACAAGATTATTCTATCGTCAGCTTTTGAAGAGAACTTACATCGAGACGATAGAGCTTCGTCTAGTTATAGATCAGAATGGCCAAGTGCTTATATCATTATATACTAAACCTCTTGTCTACTACTTTGTGGTTTAATCTATAATACTTTTTGGCCACTCTCATACATGAACTGTATATTTAGTAAACGTACTGGATACCTGTATGATCTCTCGTATTATACTAACTTGACATATATAAACAATAAATATTCTTGAGTCTTTCTGACCAGTTGAGGTCAAAATTTTAGATTATTTGAGATCGTGCTCACTTTAATTCATTTGACACCGTAAATAGCGTGGTGTTTGACAAGAAAGAATATGGTCAAGATCTCTGAATGTAATCTTTTTGGTTTTTGCTTCATTCAGAAAAGGATTTATATATTTTCAATGTCTGAATGTGTGTGACTTTCAAGAGACAGAAAAAAGTTCAATTGCTTACCTTTGAGTTTCGTGGAGTCATCTTTACTACCTAAAACTCCTTGTAAAACGTTACATTTACACACAAAAACCAAGAAAATGTACCAAATCAACATTCTTGAAAGAAGACTCTCACAAATCAGCTGGTCAAAGACTTTAAGGTTGTAGTAGATGGGCTAAATTATACGAATAAAATGGCGCCAAGGAGGGATATAATAAACTAGATAATAAGACAGCCGACCAATGTATAGAGCAATGAATTGAATAGCTAGCCTAAAGCCATCTGGAAATTGTGACAGCGGCGCAGAACAGAGAATATTTCCATAAACTAGATCTTAGTTGACCACTCATGAGGGGGTAGCTCATTTTGACAACGGCCAAAAGTGGCGACCGGAACAAAGACTGCGGAGAACTTAGTTTTTGATCTGGGGATTTGTACTTCTGCGTAGGGAATTTGATTTGATCCAAGAAAATTAATATATGAACCCTTTATGCCTATAATCTGGTAGATTTTTTTAGCAATATGTATTTTTGGATTTAAAGGGATGGTTGGAAAGCCAATATAATGCCATCGATTGACAAGCAGTGAAATTTTATAAAAACGAGAACATTTTTTAGCCTTTATCTAATTTTTACTGGTTCAATATTACAGAAAATGTATTCGTCTAGGTTGGCATAATTAAGTTTTTACTGTTGTACACCTGCTATATTAAAATATCCACAACTATCGCTACAACCATCAACACTCACCCGATGCACAAAGGGTTTCCATTCGGGAGGTGCTCGGCTTCCACTCGGGTGGCGAGTATAAAGTGCTCAATAATTGCTTGATTGTTTATTCGAACCAACCATAAACCAACTAGTTTCTCGCAATTTTTTCTTGTTAAGAATATGGCGTCCTCGAGAACAGTTTTGACTTTTTTTCTCCTACTTTTTGTGGGAATTATTTACTGTCAAGATGTTGAAGATCAGTTAGTTTGGTCTGAATCGATGCAGTCAAACTTTGGAGTTGCTCAGCTCTCTCTTCCGGTAAATATGATTTGAAATAATTCTTAATTTTCTTTCATTTGACAGTATACAGACTTTTCTTTGTTTGCCCTTAAACCAAAGATAATCGTTTCGAATAATCGAAGAACATTTCGTATTAGTTTTAGAAGCAATTTGAGAAACCACAAATGTTAGCTATGATACTCTTTGAATATTTTTTATCTTTTCTCTTTAACCTTTCAAAAGCCCAACGATGAACACTTTATGAATTGTCTGATTAAATGTTCCCAATTAAACAATAATTATTAAAAAATATTGAGAATTAATAATATTTTAAACATATTTTTGTTTTTACAATCATACCTTAAAATATCAAAATTAATATCATGCAGCAAAATATAATTCCAACATATTTTAAAAAGCATTGAATAATTCAAATAATTCAAAGCAATTAATGAGTTGACTCTACAACTGTAGTCATGTCAATTGATCATTAGCTAACTGGTGGGTAATGTGTGGGCTAAGTTGATGACATCTTGCTTTCAACTATAGCCTGCATAGCGGACCTCTGGTTTTTCAGAGGAGTTCTGCTATTTCGGCTAGCTCTCATCATTTACCCCTAGAAATAGACCCCCCCCCCCCCACGGACTATATTTAAGTGTGTCACGTGCAATGCCTTCTGGGATAAATAATGATGAATGGAGAATTTATTCTGAATTTCAAATAATGATCTTCAAACGATATTTCAGGACACCTTGATGAACATCAGTGTGAAAGACAAAATCCTCTCTAGCTACAAAACTCCAACAAACAAGAAGGCCTTTGTGCTTGATAACCTCCTTAATGCTTCATCATTAGCAATGCTGCGTGGCTTTATAACAGTGGAATTAGGGGCATGGAAATTCAGCTTACATGAACCGTACGAAGGAGGAATAGAGAAACTTAATGATGGCATTCCATGGGTCAATGAGTTAGACTCTCTCCAATTTGCTAATTCTGCCATTGGCCGTGTGCTTCAAAAAGCAGTAACCGATGTTTCTGGTTCAAAGGAAATTTATTATCCATATAGAGTCAGGGCTAAAATTCTTCGTCGAGGTGACTTTACTAGATTATACAGTGATGCCAGTGACAAAGATGATGAATATTCCATGATAATGTTTTTGAATACTGAATGGCAAAAAAATGATTACGGAGAAATTTACCTGTAAGTAATGCTCAACAATAATATTATGGAGGTCTATATCAGTAAGTATAGACCTTTAGCTTCGCATGCAATTGCCCTTTTTAGATCACATGACATTCCCTTGAGAATTTCTCACATGAAAGAATCAACTCCCAAGAGAGTGCACTCATCACATGATGATCTGCAATGTGCACACTAAGGTAAAAGATCTATTGTATGGTATTACTTGTGTACCATGCTCATCAGACCTCAGAGTAGCCTGCACAGTGGCCCACCTCATGCCATCTCCTATTACTCTTGGGCTTCTGTATGCAGGCTAAATGCAGTGCAAGTTTTAGATTGGGGAGGTGTATAATATTTCAAAAAAATCTTCCGAATACTGGATTATATGTTAAATAGAAAATAAGCAAATAAAACAAAAATGGCAGCAAAACTATTGGGAATCAGAGAGGGATCAATATAGCACCCCAATGCCCAATTAAAGCTCTGCATGCTGTCCCTGTGTATCATGCCATATCGCTAAGTGTGATACCTAATACCTTTCCAGGTATGACAAAGACCAGGAAATATTTGGTGGTGCAGTACCCAAATATGGTCGTGCTGTCATCTGGCAGAGCTCTGTGCCATATCTAGCAAGACCCCCAAGCATGGCATTCAAGCAAGGATTATTCCTCTTGCACATTCAGTTCACAAAATCAAAAGACAAAGTCTACCAAAGTTCACAAAACTGGGAACGAGCTAGAGCTGAGCGGATAGCCGTAGTAACTGGTGACTTTGTTGGAGCAAACGAACTAGCCCCAGCTTCCATTGACTTTAAGAGCAAACTTGTCCGAGAATATCAAACCAAAAATGGCAAGAAAATCTTTGTATTTGATGATTTATTTGAAAAGAAGGATCTAGACATGTTACGAGTTGTTATTTTAAATTATGGCCTATACTACTATGATGACAGTGATGATGATGGTGACAGTGATAATGTGCAATGGATAGCTGGGTTTGCTATTGATAGTTACATACGTAGCAGACTCTGGAACATCACACGCAGGGTATGACTTTAAAGATATATATGTATATGTGATAATACGGGGTAAATGATGCAGTCATTTTGATGAATATCAAAGTAATTCTGCAATACTCTATTTTCTTTTGTTAGTTCCATTGAATAGTAAGGATTGTACAGCCTACAGAACGAAAATACGAGTTGATTGATATGCCAAGGGATTAACATAATACACAACCAAGACTATGGTTGAGCAAAGATAACTCAAAACTGAAGTGTTGAATCAAAATATCTCAACTTTCTTTGCATGCGATATTGTGCATTATGTTAATGTTATTCTAAAGGGTGTGGACCATGCACACTTGCTCAACCAATCAGCATGTGTGTTTACTAGTTAAAGCATGTTTCGTATGACTGAAAAAGGTACAACCAATCACTTTGTGTGTTTACTCGTTAAAGCATGTTTTGTGTGACTGAAGAGAGTACTGCAGGGACATTACTTAGGGTAACAGAAATTAATGTGGTTTTCTTATGTGTTGTAAAATTAAGGTACAGACTACAGCTCGTACACGGTATGATATGCCGTGACTAAGACTAAAATGGCTTCCCATTGTCTTCCAATAGCGCAGCGCACTGATTCTAAAAATAGCTTAAAGATTCGGACAAACATTGCATTCTGTTTAACCGCTACGAGGATTATACGAACCGATTTTATTATTTTTACTTAAAGTTACAATAATAACCCATGTAAACTAAGATCAACTGCGATCGGCTGTGAAAATTATCTGCTGAAAGTAAACTTGTAAGTTTGTTTGTCCGAATTTCGCCTTTGTCTTCGTTTTTATGACGTCATGGTTGCGCTGCGCTATTCATCCAATCACAACAAATATCTTAGGGTTATAAGATGCGGTACAGCTACAATTTTGCTGTTTTGTTTCCTACTCAAAAATACCTTTTAAATCATGCACACTGTGATTGGTTCTATGTTTCATGCCGTGACCGTGCTGTGTATTTGATTGACAGCTGTGAATAATCTCTTTCAGGTGGCAAGTCACGTGTCAGGGAAAGACGAATGGTTTCCTTATGACGTGTCATGTAACCTTATAAGGAATGCTGACCATACGCGCATCCATAATGACTGTGGAGAACATGAAGACGAATGGACATTCCTTATCTACTTGAATCCTAACATGACTAAGAATGATTATGGCGAGACTGTTTTCTATGAAGAAGATACAAAAAATCCTGAGATTGCTGCTGAAGTTCGACCAAAATATGGACGAGCTGTCATTTTCCAAGGTTTGTAGGAGTTTAGTATCATGTATATGAGGTTACGCATTTCTATAGTGATAAAGAAATAGCCCCTGGCAGAAACAAAGGAGTTGGGCTCTTATTTGGTGCGCGGGGAGTGGGATATGTGCCTTTAGGTAGACAGTAGTTGCAGTACCATATTTTGCAGATTAGCACCCAATTCGTTTCTGTGAGAGGAAAAATGAAGTAGAAAACGTGCTCGCGCGTAGTGTACAGCTGTAAAGCACTCGAGAATTACAGGGCACAGTGTTAGAAAAAAGTGTTAGAAGAAGCATGACGCGTAGCAGAGCTATTTCAATCTCTTTCTCTTAGACGCCACTCCGAGGTTGTTCTCTTCCGAGTCATGCTATACATTGCTAGGAAACGGAAGTGCTAGGCCTCTCCATGCTATGAGAAGCTTTAAGAACGTGCGCGCATGGATTGCTTCTTTTGTCCAATTTTAGCTCTTGATGAGAAAGCGAGAGGAAAATAAGTTAATTGAAAAAGGAAAAAATTAAAAATTAAAAAAGCACATAGGTAGATACTGCACTTACCACCCCTAACCCTTACGGGGTGGAAACGTTTTTTTCCCTTAGGAGGGGTGGGAAGCAGCTGTATAAAGGTTATTCTCACCTCAAATTGTCTTGAAAAAAAAAACAGTTGTTCGGTTGGTGCGCATCCCCGGCTGGAGGATGAAACTAATTAAGGTTTTGTGAGGTTTGAGTATGTTCTTGTAACAGCAATTACATTGTTATATTAATAGTACGGTATTTTACCAGAGTATCTGTGCACCTTTGTAGTAAATCTCTTGTTACATACATTGTTCTAATATATTTTATACCATAGCATTTACCATTTTCCATCAGGTATTATACCACATTCTGCTCGTCCTCCCAGCACCAACTACACCCACGCACGACTAACATTCGTTGCCAAGTTATCTGTAAACGAGTTTGTTGCTCGTACTAAAGCATTTGTTGAAGAGATCAGGCATTATACTGGCGTGAGATATCAACAGATGTTTGTAAAGAATCTACAGAATGGAATCGCTCCTGCGCAGACTAGAAAACCAGTCAAGGCCAAAAAATACCAAGGTAAAAAAATCTTGAGGAAACTTGAAAATCGATCGTTTGAAAAATACTTAAATGTCAAATAAATTATAATGGAAAAATTTGTTTCGTTGTAATAGGGTTACTTTTCACTTGTGGTGTTAAGTCTGGACTGCCTGTGCTATTCAATGGCAGATCCAGAACGTTCACAAGGGGGATGACTGTTAAGTAGAAAGGCAACACACAGAATTCCTCTTAGTTCTTACCTTATCCTTTATTGTTATTACTTTTCGACTCCAAAGAGGGTGGTGAGACACCCAATCCCACCCCCTTGCCGAATACAGGGTGGCCAATAATTAATTTTTAACATTATTTTAACAGCTAAGGAGGATGAGGAAGAGGCTGAGCGTGAAGAAGATGAAGAAGGAGAAGAAGGCGAAGAAGGAGAAGAAGGAGAGGAGTCCAATGGCAAAGAACCAAAGAAGCCATCAGCAGATGCTACATCTGAGGGAGAAGACATGACTCCAGAGTTTAATGATCCAAAACTTCAATCCTTAGAAGAGAAGCAAAAACAATTAGAAGAAGATCCTGAAAACTCTTTAGAAAAACTCCGAGCTCTTCATCGAGAACTTTCGGCCATGCATGAGTTAGACAGAGAAATGCTACGCCAAAACTATGCTAAAGTTCTTTAGGGTGAATTTTATTATTTTAAGAAAATCTTAAAATCACTTTCTAGTTCACTGCTTGTAGCTTAAATTAAATTATTTATTAACCACAATTATTGAAGCAAAGGTTTCAATAAACTTTTCAATCGCGATTCAATATACAGTATATCATTGCACGGGTGAAATACATTGCTGTATTTTTTCCATAAATGGAATAGGAAATGGATGAATGAAGATTATTTCCCATCCATTCACTTCTTTTAGATTTCTAATGGCAGATACTAGAATATATTCAATCTATAGATATTGACAGAATAACTGATAAAAATTAAAAAGTCTGTAAACATAGTTTTTATATTTACAACTTCATGCCAAAACTTCAAGGGTCGTTTGGGTGGTATTTGGGCTACCGGAAACGACGTTAACAGGAAATGAAGGCATTAGAAAATGCCAATCCTTTATCTAAATTTTGTCTCAGAAGAAAATTTCTTATGTGTAGTTCTCAACTATTCAGACATTTTCAATCTTAAATGTTTTTCCCCCCCCAATTCGCAATAAAACTGCAAAATAGATCTTATCTGGCGCTGTGCCGGAAGTCACGTAACCGGAAGCTATATGCATTTTAGGAGAGGTGAAACACAAAAAGATTTCAAGGATCCGAAATAAGGTTTGGTGTAAGATTATTTTTGAGACTTCCCTAGCGTTTGCTATGAGTACTTTGCTTGAATAATTCGAATAACAGAAGAAATAATGTTATGAAAGTTAGCCAATCGTCAGTGGCCATCCAAGGAATACCCCTTCGATGTTATAACGCATGCGTTACTGTGGGATCGTGTTCATTTAGATACTTCGGTGATCGTCAATTGAGTTGTTGATCTTGAAGCCGACTTTAAGATTTTTACTATGGGCCCTATAAAAGATATCTGTTGTTTAGGAGCGGGATATGTTGGTGGACCGTCTTGCAGTGTAATCGCGCTAAAATGTCCTGATATTCAAGTTACAGTAGCTGATCTTAGCCAACAAAAAATCGATGCTTGGAACTGCGATTCTCTGCCAATATTTGAGGTAGGTTAATTTGTAGTGGTTGAACTTTGTTTTTGTGTGTTTAGATATTTAATCCTTTGATTTATATTCTGTTTTTTAAAGCCTGGGCTTGCTGAAGTTGTGAAAGAATGTCGGGGAAGAAATCTTTGGTTTACAACTGACATCAATTCAGCGATAAAAAAGGCTGACTTGATATTCATATGTGTAAGTATATATCGTGTAAAATCTCTTTATTTATTTTGAATGTGTGGGCTGATGATAATAGGGGTATTAGGGACCATTCCTGGCGAGTTTCTCTGTCACTTGGAAACGAAATGATGTCCAAAAACCATCTTTACCATTATATCTACAGGTTAACACGCCAACAAAAACTTTTGGACTAGGAAAGGTAAGCTAATTACCTCGCAAACTTGTTCATAAACTATGAAACTTGTTCTTTTAATTAACTTTGAATTTACTGAAATTTTTAAATACGTTTATTAGATAGATTTAGAATACAGTTAATGGAAAACATAAAGAATTGAAAACACTAATAGCTGCTGTAAATTGCCATTGAAAGTAAATGCCTTTTTTTCATTCACATTATTAAATATAAATCAGTTTTTCGGCAGGTATCATTTATCTCTCTCAAGAATATCTTAGTTACGTACACCTCTAAATTATTTTGTTAACCAGTAACGGTCCAGCCTACAGGCAATTTCTTTTGTATTAGAACTCTTATCACTTTGAATTTGGTCTAAATGACTTTGAAAAAACTTTGCCATTCATTGTCTTTCAATCAAAACTTTGACAATATCTGACCAATCTAAGTTAAAACTCAGATTTGTTAGTTTACTCAGATTGACTCAGCTGATTTTACTTTTAGACTTCTTTTGTTTTCGTTGTAAGCCAACATCACAATCACTTTGCCTTTTGGTTTTTAGAAAAAAACATAGGAGGTCTATGGCAAGCCGAATGTAGCAATATTCAATTCAGCTCGTTTATTCAACGTTCAACCATATTTATTCAACGTTCAACC